CTGGTTTTATAGTGCTAGCCCACTGAGATACCATGCCGCAGTGAAGCAGGAATACCCCACTCAGACACATTATACTGACTCCGAGCCGACCAGTCCTCGTTGTACCCATTAATGCCGAGCGCCAGGCAGGGACCAACAAGTACCATATTTTAACGTCTTTTGGTATGACGCGGTAGGGGATCGAACCCGCGACCTTCCGCTCTCCCGGGCGGACGCTCTAACCACTACACCACGGAGGCGGTCCAGTGAGATAACACTCTGTAAGATAAGATCAGGAATTAGTTCATGCAAATAATGAATAGATGCGTGATTTTTTAAAACCAGTCAAATTATAAAGCCTGACCACCCAAGCAAGAAATTCCCGATGAGGATGTACTGGTTTGTGAACGAATCGAAAAACGAAATCCCCAACGGGAATTTCATTGACGAGTACATGCATTGCTACAATTTTTTATACAAGCTATCTTGACAAAGGCATAAGTGGTTTATTTACGACGGGCATGTTTGTAACGGTTCCCCCTTTTGACTTTCGATTGTCCGGTTTTACAGCTGATAGTTAATATACAATACCGATTATTTCAAGTGCATTATATTATCCGAGGCGTTGAATACATTCTTAAATGTTTATATTGTGTGAGAAGATTGAAACTTTTTTTTTCTCCCAAAATGTAATGTACGATATTAGCGATGACACAATTTTCTTATCGATAATCAACAATAATTTTTCTTAGCGACGATAGTTTCAGATTATCGATCATTTTAGCCAGCCCTATTCTTTTCCGATTGAGTCTGTGTGCAATCTGTGAGTATTAGCGATGTTGTTCATGAACATGCCGGCTCTTAGTTTATACAAAGGTTTTGTCCTAATTACGCCCATGTTAATATTTAATAACCATAAAATATAACGAAAAGGGGCCCATTTTCAGAAGCTATGGTAATATCATAGTGATTGGCATGGACTTTCTGAGATATGTTCGTTTTTGGGTCTGTATGACAGATTATATTACCTTAAAATCTGCATAATTTATGTTCACTTTGGAAATATAGCTAAGTGGTGTATTTTTGTGGGTTGACGTACACGCATATTTGGTCACAACTCACATCAATCACGATTAGAACCGATATACCAAGTTCAGTTAATAATTTCTGTTGGGTGTACAAGAGGCCAGTTTGAACAATCTCACTTGCCAAAGGTGAGACCTCAGTTGGCCTTTTCTGTATTTACACAACTTAATGACATCAATTGTCACACTATCAACATTAAACTAAAAACAAACCCCCAATGCATTTATTTAACAACACTTCATATGGAATATATATATTCTTGAATGTTCAGATGAGATAAGTCACCTCCATAAAGACATATCAAGGTTGAACATTTCATTAACTAACTCGGCGCCCCTGACCACCTGATCCCGTTACTTGCCTTTCAAGACAAGCATTGGTGGCTAAAGACCATTTCTAACACGGACCTTCACAGGTTAATAATAATAATGCTACGTTTTGCGCCTAGAAGCTAACACGATGCTGCTCTCAGGCGTTACATTATTACCCTGACGGAATTGTACTTTCAAAGCCGCTCCTGAGCGCTTCGCCCGATAGTATAGGTCCGTACACACGCTTCTCAGGTATCCATTTTGAACAGCTGGGTGGACTGAGTGCAATTTGGACGAGGAGCCTTGCCCAGGGTCTCAACAAGTATGAAACTCAGGTCACAAATCTTGGTGTCTCCATTGGTTAACCATTACACCGCTGTGCTTCACATAGTGATAAGTGATACTATGTGGAATATATATACTATCACGTACGTAAAAATATTTGTAAGTTTCATCTACATTGTACCATCTACGTAGATGAGTGAGTGAGTGAGTTTAATTTTACGCCGCATTCAAAAATATTCCAGCTATATGGTGGCGGTCTGTAAATAATCGAGTCTGGACCAGAGAATCCAGTGATCAACAGCATGAGCATCCAACTGCGCAATTTGGAACCGATGACATGTGTCAACCAAGTCAGTGAGCCTGACCACCCGATCCCGTTAGTCGTCTCATACGACAAGCATTGGTTACTTAAGATCAATATTCTAACCCGGACCTTCACGGGTATCTACGTAGATGAACGTATCTCCCAGATGTATATATCACCTATGTGAATGAAAGTATCTTCTAGATAAGCTTCTATTCTTTTCGGAAAATGATGTTAAACATTTAAACCGAGCATCGGATATGCATCCTTTGCCATGAATGTTAAATCGGTGTATGTAAATAAAGGTCCTTGAAGTACAGGTAAAAGACAATAATCAGTATTGATCATCCTCTAAAACGAATTCCACTGGTCACGAAAGGCAATAAGCGGAAAACAATTTATAATGTCAGGTGTTCGCCCAAACGGTAAGAAAACCCCGCCTACGTGTAGGTCCCACAACCGCACCGTTGTCAGAGAAGTGGTTGTTCTTTATCTAACACGACGAAGTAGTACTCTCATGAGACGTCTTCCTGCAAACACATCTGACAATGAAGCGATGGACAATTAATACCAGGGACATAGCGTACTAACTGAGGTTGCTGAAATATTTATTGGTTAGTTGTTGTTTAATGTTGCACTAAGCAGTATTCCAGCTGTATGGAGTCAGTCTGTAAATATTTGAGTCTAGACCAGACAATAAAATGGTCGACAGCATGAGCATCGATCTACGAAATTGGGATACGATGACACGCGTCCATCAAGTCAGTGAGCACGACCATCAAATCCCTTTAGTCACTCGTACGACAAGCATGGGTTCCTGAAGATCAATTCCAACCCGGATCGTCACGGGTCTGATGAAATATAAAACTATATGTTAATTTTTAAAAATGAAACTTTGGCAGAACATAAGTACAGTCTGGGAACACTGTTGAGCGAAGTTTTAATGTTTCCGGATGAACAATCTTGCACTATGGATCCCGTGAATGTGTATGCCACTGAACAATGAGCGTGCGTGGGAAATATGAAATTACAAAAAGCAATAAAACATAATTTGTGCTGTTCAGAACTCCTCCATGCAAACCAGACCTTACTACGCTTAGATTTCAGACACCTGCAATATACCTTTAATATGTGTACAGCTGGCTTACTGGATTTACAACTTTCATTTATATTTTTATATCTTTTCTAAACTATTATATATTATCGTATATGGAGTTCGAGAAACAGTTGGCTCTGTTGTTTGAAACCAACTTTATATTAGTATGAGTTATTAATATTCAGACTATGTAAATGGCCACTGTCGCTTCACGTAGCAATTGTCCTAGTGCATCAGGCCAGTGTGTACACCATTATACAGATGTTTACAGATTATTAGTACGGAATACATAAATGAAAAAAGCACGTCCGGTTCATTTAGTTGATAACGGATTCCAATAAACAGCATTGTGTAATATTAAGGGCGGGATTTTATACAGGCATTGTTTACGATACTAATGCGTTCAGTTCACATTGTTATCAAAATATCTAAATTAGTCCATATTATGCATCTAGTGTGCGCAGATAGAAAACACATGCTATGTTTTAACAATGTACTGAGTTTAATTCAATGCCGCTTTGAACGGTATGCTGGTTATAACACAGGGCGTCAGCTTCATATGGGCGATCTGATGCAGGTCACAGAACACTATGGTAAAACCTACGAGCATGGGCATGGTGTTGAGAACCAAGAAATGTTACAGGTGGAATCGGTATTTGAACCCACAATCACAGAGAATAACGGTCCCTCAGATAACGGTGTCACCATGCTTCCTGAACAGACGTAAGACTTCATGGTAATTTTCAAAAAAACTGAAACAATGAAACAATGAAAATGAAACAATCGCTAAATAACATCTCTCCTCTTCCATCTTGTGAACCTCATCATGCTACGTTGTTGCCTTGAGTGAATAAAGTAACCTAACCTACAGGAAGCGAAAAGTGAGCCATGACTCCGATGTAAAGATAGACACCTACAATGCTCTGATACATTTGATCCAATTAATAGCCAAAGCAAATAAAGGTTAAACACCGCATCACTGAAGGTGGTGGTGCACAAGTTACTGGACATCTCCGGCATGTCATGTTCTCGTTTGGGGCGTATAACGTTACCATTTGGTCAGACTTGCTGATGTGGTTGATGCTTGTCATCGCATTGGAGTCTTGTTCATGATGTCCATCGATGGATGTGGATGGTATTACGTCCATCTTAACTGAGAAAGGACTGAAGGATTTACCCATTTAAACCACTAGGGGAAAGTTATGTCCATTGTTCGTAGAAGTGTTTTATTAGCATAACTGAATAACTAGGGCAAATACTTATATTCAAAAACAATAAAATTGTACTCATTTTGATAATATTCATCATGCCTAATACATTACACGCGTATAAAATAAGTATGCGCTCGTGGTGTAAGCCGTTTAATCACCCTTACAAGGGTAGTTATTTAAATAAACTCTGCTCGGGCTAAAACCCTCGCAAAGTTTATTTAAAAAACTACCCTTGTAAGGGTGATTGACCTACACGTACACATACATCTATCGAGGTACATGTAAGGGTAAGATGTATGGATGACAACATCTGTATTACACTGAGGAGCATTATTTCGGTGTAGATTCTAATTCCATTCTCAAGCTCCTCTTTGTTATGAAGAAGTTATTCATCCATACATCGTTTCCTCACCAAGCACTCCATCTTCTAAATACCTCTCAAAGGAGTTATACACCTATCTACTAGTGATGCTGAATAGTTATCAGCAACACAAACAATACATTTATCCATTCATGTGGAAAGAAACGGTAGTGAAATGATACGGTGATTTTTGTTCTGTGTTTGTTGTTTTCATAACACAAAGGCTTGTTCCAGTGAGTAGTCAACTAATATTAAACCATTGTGCCTCCATAGCTCGCTTGTGTCATACTGGTATATATAAAACGAAAGGGTGTTGTTAGTATCAATTAATATAGAGCAGAGAATCTCTCCTGTCTACAGCTGAAACATGGCGGGATGCCAGCTGGATGAAGTAATTGACCTCGTCAAAAGGGATGCTATTCCAAATGTAAGTTTAGGTTTCGTGAAGAAATATGCTCATATGATAATGATTGAAGTGCAATTGTTCCGAAGCAAAATTTGTATTTGCTGATGACATTGGTCACCACAAAGCTATAAACTGCTCTGTACATGTAGGGGTCTAGGACAATCGTCACCCGGACAATCGTCACCCGGACAATTGCCACCCGAACAATTGTCCGGGTGGCAGTTGTCCTGCTCCTACATGTAGCAACGTTCTCATGACTGTGGCTGTGGATTTCATTAACGTCGCCCACGGCATTATGCTAATATCGCCTTCAAGTAGCTGAAGGGGCGGTGGAGTAGCATAGTGGCTAACGCGTCATGCCGAAGACCTAGGTTCGATTCCCTACATGGGTACAATGTGTGAAACCATTTCTGGTGTCCGCTGCCGTGATATTGCTGGAATATTGGTAAATGCGGCGTTAAACATATGTAAACGGGCTAGCCCCACAGACGACAACGGCCAGACGTAGGGCAAAGTTCTTTATTTGATCCAGCCAAAGGTGAGTTAAACACCCGCAATCAATTCTGGAACATGTTATAGTACATGTATTTGTGTCCCAATCTCAGAATATAATATTTAAATACAACGTAATCTTTAAACATTACATAAACATTAAATAAATGCAACTAACTATTTAAGGAAACATTACAGCATTGCATCTTGCCTTGCATGAAAAGCATGAGCAGCAACTTACAGCCAATGAGAAGTTTCAAGGCTTCTTCATAAACTTTAGGCCAATCAGTACAGTTGGTATAAAATATGAACTGTGAAATATCCTTACATAGGTGGCAAGGCTCCAAATGAGTGGTACTGAGGGTCCCTACCTCATTATGAAATTAACAATATTTTAAAGCTTATAATTAAAAAACAAACACCAAAACAATCCAAAATGAAAACAATATTTTGCACTCTGTTACACATACTCACTCACTTCTGCAGCTCAAATACTGTTCCAAACTGCATGACTTACTGTTCACTGGGCTATATAATATGTTATGTTATAGTAACAACCACTGTTTTAACATTATGACACATGGTGTTTGTTAGTTATTTAACGCCGTACCTGACGGCACTCAGCTCTATTCTAGCTACGTGACGGCGGATTTTATATAATCGATTCCTGACCAAATACTCCTCGCACTTTGGATATTATGGCATGCATCAACCATGTCAGGGAATCTGACACCCGAACTCGTTTGTCGCCTTTTATGACAAGTATTGGTTGTTGAAGACCAATTCTAACTACACACTCAACGCAATTTGGTTGCATGTGTCAACCAAGTAAGCGAGCCTGACCACCTCCTCCGTTAGTCATCTCTACAAGCTGAAAACTAATTCTAACCCGGACCTTCAAGGCTGTATTAAACATTCCAATACTCTTTTTCAGGAGGCGTGGATTCCAGTACAGGATTGTCCAAAGGCAACATTTGATTGTGAAGAAGAAGAAGATGAAGCCAAGACCACGCTTGGCGAAGAACATGAAAATAACGAACATTATCTGCATTGCGGAGCAGTAGTTGCTGGGGCAAGGGCGACTGTCTGGGCGAAGATAGTTCGCAAAAAGAAGCTCATTTGCATCACAGGTTCACTGGTGCTCTTGGCAGCCTATGCCGTATATTTAGGATTCTGCATGAGGTTTTCTTTCGGAGATGAAGGATCTCTGCGACTGCTGCTTGGAACAGTCTTTTTGCTTTTTATCTATACGAAAATAAAGTTTGGAGCTCAGGCGCGAAATGCTCTCCTTCCAAAGATAAAGAGGATAAAAAATTTGGCATCGATAAGCAGAATAATACGATGGTTAAGTATTATATTTAATAAATGTTGTATGTTCTTAACACCACGTGTATTTAATCATAACCAGACATAAAAGGTCTTTTTTCCGAACAAATCAATTCGAAGAACTAGTTTAGAAAGAAATAATATGTTTTAAATTCCCTTGATGAATATTTGAATGTGAAATAAATCTGTCGCGATTTTAATCATTTGCGTTCTGCATGCATGACATGGTCTTTTTATACTCTCTTATTCAGTAATATATTTCTATTTTTAGTTGTCATATACGTTTCTGTATCTCAGTGAGCTAGCACTATTAAACCAGCTTAAGTCAGGGCTAGTACAAGCAGCCACACTCACGCATACACGTCGTCATATGAGCGAAATATTCCTAAGTGCGACGTTAAACCCCATCTCACCTCAAATATGTTTCTCCGAGTATAGCTGTTCTTGTATACTGGTATATGCTTTCTTGTTGAACCGTGGCACATTTTATCGGAGTTCGGACTTGGACAAATAACATTAATACTGTGTAAAGTCTATTTATGTCGTCATATCTTGGTATGACTGGAGTACTTATAACACCGGGCTATAATCCATTCCCTCACAAGTAGGAACTTTAGATGACCTGATGTTGATGTTGATGTTGATGTTGATGTTGATGTTGGCAGGTTCCTGTATGTAGCCCTGGTGGTGTTCATCGCCGTCTACTTGACAACCAGCAACCTCACCGCTGACAACTTCGTGTCCCTAGCTGGTCTCATATTCTTCATTCTATTAGGATATCTGATATCGGAACATCCAGCCAGGGTAATGGATCTCATTCAGAACCGTTGACTTTTCGAATCTATTAAAGTGACTTTTACCTCACGCCGGCAGTGTTTCAGCAATACCATGACGAGACAAGCGTACTTATATTGTCTAAAACCATCAAGGTAGTGTGGAATAACTTGTCACGTAAAATAAATAATTATTTGCATTTAAAACTACATATAGTTTGGACTAATAAGAACAGACGTTTCATCAATGGCATTAGTTACAAATCATTTGTAGACTAACAGCAACCAATATTAGGCCACCTTACGTGGGACCATGGGGATTTACGGTGCCTCTGGTACTTGCGTGGTACTCCAGGAGAATATATGCATATACGTATAAAAACTATCTACATACATGGATTTTTATTTAGCATATTTAGCATTACAATTAAGTTCTGATGAGTATACCCTGAATCAACTGGGTCTGCTCTTTGGGAATACATTGGAAATATTTGGCAGCAATGATGGAATAAGCAAGTAAGTAATAGGCTTTACGCCATACAACGGCATCATGCCCTTACACATTTAAGTCGTCAGGATGCAACTGTCATCCTCAGGTGTGGTATTGGACATTGTCATTGTCAACATTCATTTTTGCATAAAAAGGAAATGTTCTCCCATGAAGTAGTCCTTCGAATTTCTTTGCCATACTCAACTGATTGTCAGGCATCTATTGTTGGAATGTGTGGATTTTGCACCGATTCTTCACGGTCTTCATAGAATATCTGAACTTCCCAATATTGTACGTTGTTTATTCTCATCGACCACCCCCTAATTATCCAATCTTCATATATCATCATTTCAGGTGAATTGGCATTCAGTGTTCTGGGGAATCGGTACTCAGTTTTTGTTTGCCTTACTGATACTGAGAACCAATTTTGGCTATGAAATCTTCCGATGGCTTGGAGAGAGGATAGAAGAATCCCTGGAGCATACAGACAAAGGCTCGGAATTTGTTTTTGGAAAGAGTTACAGAGATCACATGTTTGCATTTAGGGTAGGCGTGGTGCTCCTTCTCTGTGGTAAAATGAACTATTAGAATTTACCAGGCGATATATACCCTTGGATAATATTTACACACCACTTTTGCTTTACTTCCTTTGATATAGTAATTTCTAAACATATGAACGAATTTCTGAATTACAGTCATATACAGCTTTGTGCCATAAATGAAGGCAAAAACGAGATGGCGGCGTGCTTGTCGCAATTTGACAACTCAATTTTAATTGCATTATTTCAAAGAAACTTGAATGTACCTACCTAATATTTTGTGATATACCCCTTAGACACAAGAACTTGACGTATCCTCTTTGGAATGATTAAATACGGGTTTCTTATGCATGCAAGCGGCAAAGACGTCCACTCCTCATTAATTGCTGCTGCAAGGTCCTCTTTTGAATGTATGCGATAGGTGCGACACTGCAATTCTCTCTTAAGCCTATGCCACACATTTTCAATTATGTTCAAGTCCGGACTCTGGGCTGGCCATGACATGCCTTTTAAATTATTTTCTGTCTTGTAAACTTGAACAGTTCTAGCCCGATGGACTGGGGCATTATCATCTTGAAATATGTATTGGTCATCAGGAAAATGACGAGCAATAACTGGCCAAATATTGTTATCTATAATTTCAACATATTTCTCAGCAGTTATGTTACCTTCTACAACGGCTACAGTTCCCACACCATGGTATGTAATGCAACCCCAAATCATCAAAGATAGGGTAGGGGTTTGGGGAACACCCAAACACTGGGGGGCCCACTTTTCTCCAAATGAATACTTTTTCCTTTCCATCAATGATCACTTTACACTCATCACTAAATATGACATGGTTCCAATATGTGTCCACAGATCGATGTAATTTTCCCCTGCACCATGCTAATCTATTTTTAATGTTCACTTTCCTAATTCTGATTTTCTTTCGAATTACACGTCTATGAAATCCTTCAGAATACAATTTTCTTTGAACAGTTCTGTATGACACATGCTTGTTGTTGTCCTCATTAAATCTGTTGGTAATATCCTTCAAAGATCGCCGACGAGAATTTTTTTTAAAATCCGAATTTTTTTGCGCGAGTCCCTCTGAGTCAAAAGTTTCTTCCTTCCCGTTCTTGGCTTGTTTTAAACGGAACCATGCGATTTATACCGATGTAAATGAAGTAATTCTGCAATATTTGCAGGTTTCTTCCCGTGCTCATACAATTTTACTATTGATTTTTTTACGCCAATGTCCAATTCTTTTCGTTTTGGAGGCATCTTGTTTACCGCCGTGAATGTAAACAAGCAGACGACATTCTAACCGGAAGTTACGGTCACGTGACGCGCACGTGATCCACTATCTAAAAATATACATCAATATCGGTAAAGGTAACACAGCGCGGTACAACAATGCGCCGAAATAACGAATCGTTTTCTTTAAACTGTCCGCGGTCATTTCTGCCTTCATTTATGGCACAAAGCTGTACTCAGAATGTTATCGATTATGTTATTACATGTCCGGCATTTTTGCTCTTTGTGCGAACACCCGGTGTCATCTCTAATATTTCAGTTATCCATTCATGACTTCCACTGCGGATTTGCCTTGCCCAATGTATTCTGTTCTGTCGAATGGTTAAGGCGTGCTAATGTTAATCTCTGTAAAATATGATATATTTGGGCGTTACACTTTCTCAGTAAATGTAGCTAATCACCATTGCGTATCTATCCTTATTCTCTCGCTTTGACCTTTTTGATATTTACAGTCTAACTATAATGTATTTTCGACTTAAATAGGTTTTTGTTTTTATTTGGCTACAGAGATCATAACTACATATAGTTACATAGACTCAAAGAGTCTTGTTTGTGTCCAGATCATGCCGTTAGTGATGATGCTTTGCTCCACTATAAACGTGCTATACTACTACGGGATTCTTCAAGCGTTTGTGGCCAATTTTGGTTGGTTCCTTACCTTCTGCCTTGGGACAAGTCCAGTGGAATCCGTCAACACAGCCCTTAACATAGTCTTTGGACCAGTAAGGACATTCAACATTCTTTACAAGTTTTCACATATCCTTTAAAAAAGAAATAAGCCTGGGATTTGGGATACTGGCCGAAATGTCACGTTGAAATCCTATCACGTTGATATTTTTCATGTCATCTGTACTTTCAAAGTTTAGACTCACTTAGAACACTCACGTTATGTTATGTATATAAACTACCGGACAAAGAAAGTTATCACCAACTTCACTTGACCCAAAAATAGAAACAAACACGTACGTGGGATTTGTGATAACCAGTTTACAAAACAGAAAATCGTTTTCCAATAATTTGACACAACATTCATCGTAATCCTTGTCTTGCATTTGCCGTAATTCATTAAGAAAGCGTCGAGGGATCAAAATTAAAAAATCAGAGTTCATTCCAAACGTGCATAAAGAGTCCCATAATGAGACATGAGTCAGGGGACACGTCATCAACAACGAGTGTGACCACCATACACGCCAACACACGTCTCCTCATTGACGTCGTCAGTCGGCGGATGACGTCAGCAGGAACCCTGTTCCATCAGTGGAAGAGCGTCTATTCAAGTTCCTGTCCGTTCGCTGGAGGTGGATCACACTGTCAAGTTGCGTTTTGGCGAATGTGTTCTGCTTGGGTTCAAACCTGTACTAGCGTTTGCTTTTTTATACAATTACATTAAAAGTGATAACTTTCTTTTGACCGGTAGTTTATATATGGTTACATCGAAGATTGATTTCTCCACTTACCCTCTGCAAACCCTATGTAGATGAATTGCACGAGGATCATGCATCAAATTGCTGAAAAGCATGTGCAAATGTCGTGCATGTGAACAGCTGCGTTTTGGTGTAAAGTTTTGTAAAAAGTCGCCTATTATCACTGATTTTCATGACAATAATCTTTCAACGTTACCAATTTGTTTTACAATACATCAGTTCATGTGTTAACAGTATCCTTGAACAGTATTGAATATCTGGCAAAATTTGGTCGAGAACAGTTGCCTGAAGTAAATGTCTATATTTACACTAGTGAGTCTAAACGTTTTAAACGAAGTATAGAATACCATGCTAAGAATATATATCTTTGGCTAAAACAAGACAAATTCCATGTTTATCTCCGTAAAATCAAATTTAAATTTCTCGCGCCCGGTAAACAAAAGTTAGCTTTCCGTTTTTCTGTGCTTTCCATCTCCCATCCGCATTGAATTTTCATTTCGAAATAGTAAGCTATTATTCTCAGGTTTCTCCTTTATCTCAATGTATGACCTGATGTCATGCTAAAAATTATTCTTTCTCTTGCACTCTCATTATCAGAACAGGTCAGTTTGATCTTTCTTCATCCTTGTTTATTTACAAAATGTTCTGGCAGCAAAGAAGCTTGTTCTATATCATACATTGATACGTAGACTAATACCAAATGATCTCAATTTTAAATCTTATAAAATAAGTTTGTGACAAACAATTTTCCAATTTCTTAAATTATTTTCCCCTCCCACTCGGCCTTACGGTAAAGATAAGAAAAATTAAACTACGAATGGCCTTTCTGTGATATAAACCATGCTTAAACTGTGTCTTTCCCAGGCAGAATCTCCTATTGCGATCAAACCATTCCTGCCGTTGTTGACTCCGTCTGAGCTGCATGCTGTGATGGCGGCAGGATTTGCGAGTATTGCAGGTTCTGTCTTCGGAATGCTTACATCCTTCGGGGTAGGTGGTTCATGCTTCGGCGTTCGTAGTTCATCCTTCTCGCAAGGTAGTTCATCCTTCTGGGCTGGTAGTTCATTCTTCTGGCTGTGTAGTTAATCATTAGGGCTTGGTAGTTCATCTGTATGGGTGTTAGTTCATCCTCCTTGGTACGTAGGCCATCCGTCTGGCTAGGTAGTTCGTCTTTCAGGGTTGGTAGCTCATACTTCAGGGTAGGTAGTTCAATATACTTCCATTTTTAGTTTATTTTCATGCAATACACCAATCATAATGATGTCGTCAAAGCAATTTCTTATCGTTATTCGTTAAACCACCGGAACAACCATAACTCTGTAACAGTAACATGTGAAAAACCGATGTCAGTAAGTGAGTGAGTGTGTTTTTGCGCCGCTTTTATCAATATTCTAGCAATATCACGTGGGGAACACCATAAATGAGCTTGACCCATGTGGGGAACCGAATCCAGGTCTTTGGCGTAGCGAGTGAACGCTTTAACCACAAGGCTACCCCACCGCCCCCGATGTCAGCAAAATTCCTTGTTGGCAGTTTGGTGAAATAACATCAATGGCGACCCGCATGTCTGAAACATTTTCCCCAGTTAACACTATTTTTAAAGATTCACTGTTGACTTCATTTCGTTATGAATATGTTGATGAAGAAGGCATATACAATGTGTGTGTATTGTACTTATTGTACCGTATCAGTAGCTACAAACCCCCTGCGGCTTACTTGTTTATTGTGTAAGGCTACGCGCCTATATATTGATGACACCGTGCAAGAAAAAACTGGATTAACAATTCACTTCCTCAGATCATATGCATCGATCTGCACAATTAGGAGACGATGGTATGCCACCGAGCAGGAACACCCGATCCCGTTAGACTTGTCTTCCCATATGCATAGGTTTTAAGTTTCAGTTTTGAATTATGGCATTTAGGAAAATTCGCAGTTGAAACCAAAGTGCATATATTGTGAATAATTACACCCAACCTTTCCCGTTGTCATTGAACATTGGCCCAAGGCATTTATAGTCGTCTAAGGAGACTCAAGGTGTTGTCAGGCTCGGTGTCTGGGCTGATCCCATGGGACCGATTGTTTACTCTGTTTTGCTGGAATTACTGAGACGTCCTTGACGAAGACTTAAAGTACGACTAACCACCGTTGTGTTGAAGTTAAGGAGACCACGCACATATTTCGAGGACTAAGGACCTAGCTTTTCCTTCGAGATAACGGTAGGATCGACACATGCTGAATGTTGTTCCCAGGCTCCAGCCAATCACCTACTGGCCGCTAGCGTTATGTCCGTTCCAGCTGCCCTAGTCATGTCCAAACTGATCGTAATATGATGACCAAATAGGATTGCCTAAATAAGGACTAAAGACCAAGCTTTTACTTCGAGACAATCGTAAGCTCGACAAAACGATGTTTGACTCATGTCTTAACATGTTGTTCCCAGGCTCCAGCCAATCACCTACTGGCCGCTAGCGTTATGTCGCCCCTGCTGCCCTGGCCATGTCCAAACTGATCGTCCCGGAAACACAGTGGACCAAGATTAAACCCAGAGACGCATACAACATCCCAGTCCCGTAACGTATCACATGAAACTCGTGTCTTGTCGTGTCTAGAATAGAGTGCCTTGTAATGTTGTTAAGGATACGGTGTCTTATGATTTAGAAATCCCCATCTCATCTGGATCATACCGGAAATAAATTGCCCCATTAGTCAGTTTTTCAATGGGATCAAAATTGTTGTGAGAAGAAATATTTGACTCCTTTCGAATTCCTTTTACGAATTGTACGTTTTAGAGAAGTGAAAATACCGTTCCTCCATCGAAATTCGTCAAGGTCTCCTAATGCACTCTTTGTTCCTTCCCGAGTGATAAATTAGATATTTGAAATCATCATCTTTGAAAGATCTTTTCCCAAAAGTCAGCAATCATAAAATTTATGTTGTTGTTTTTAAGAAATAGAACCTTATCTTACGTTTTAATGACTGTAATTTGTATAAGATATGTTACTATATGTTAAAATTAGGCTGAACACTTAATGAGGGTTGAAGCAGTGTAAAATAATTGTCCTCCGGTGAGGGTACGTAAGACTATATCATTCAAGTAATGTTATTATTTCCCGGGTTTTAATCGTAGAAATTTTGATATTTTAATTTGGGCAACATTTGCTGATGATCGCCAGAAGATCGATGGATAAGTAAAATCTTGCTGGCGTCTGTCTCCATGGTCCTCATGGTGGTCTACCTTTAATTGCTGGATCTCTGTTGTCGGTCTTTATAAAGTATTGTCAGGTATGGGTATATACTTTTATGGTTACATACAAGTCTGTGAAGCTTTTCACAGACCTTGGATGGCAGGAGTTTATACCACGAACATGTAATTACATATTCATGGAAACGAATAAGGGAACAAGTACAAGTGTTCCTTTATCTATTTCCAGATTTTCACCCACAGTGCAATATAAGCATGACAAGAAACCTAGAAAAAGAGTACAGGAACACTTGCTCTTTCGTGTGTTCCTTTATTCGTTTCCATGCGTATATATACCTCAATAGTCTCGATATGGCTGAAATGCTGCCTATGTGCCTTTTACTTAACTCATTCACTTATAATCCATTTATGTCACTTCTTAATATAAAACGGAAAACCAAAGTAATTCGAATAAATGCACCCACAGCTGGATCCTTCTTGTTTTATCCTTCTTGGTAGGCGGGGAGTAAGTGCCCAAGCATTAAAGTGGGTTGCGTCATTGTAATAATACAATCAAATCAATTACCACAATGGTTTGCAGAAAATTCAACAATATTTTGGAAGCTGTATCGGATGGTGCCAGAGAGTCTCTACCGATTGTGGCAAGTGTGATCGCTAACCAGATCATCTACATCGCTATCGTTGAGTTTGTGGATTCGACACTCATTTGGTTCGGCAACAGAGTTGGAGTGTCAGGAGTGTCGTTTGCGGTAAATTCAACATTTACTGTTAAATTCATTCGGTTCAACAATAATGTTATGTGAAAGGAATAATCGAATATTGAAACAATGAATTGGCTGAACCAATACCGATGCTACGTGTAATGTTAACCCTCTCACCTGATTATATTGAAGCCTCGTTTATCTGGGAGTGAGTGAATATGATTTTACGCCCCTCTTTGGCAATATTCCAGGCTTTATAGCCTATGGAGTCCCTTTCGTCGAGTAATAAGAGTGACTGAGTGAGAATATTTCAGGTTTATGGCGGCAGTCTGTAAATAATCGAGTCTGGACCAGACAATCCAGTGATAGACAGTATGAGCATCGATCTACGCAATTGGGATATGATGACATGTGTCAACCAAGTCAGCGAACCTGACCACCCGATCCTGTTAGTCGCCTCTTGCGACAAGCATGGGTTGCTGAAGATCAATGCTAACCCGGGTCCTCATGGGCCGCATAATAAGACATGGGTATTCTGTGCTGTGTCGTTTTATGCTGTGAACTAACATCAACAAATCTCCAACTTTTCGATCAAAATTGAAGATAAGGACCAACCGGAAGAAATGGAAGGCATATTCGAGGTGAATACTGACGCAATGTTTTTAACGTATCTTTCAGTTCCTGTGCTCATACGGTTTTTACCCTCTTGTATACCTCATGGGCTTTTCGAGTTCAGACTTCCTGAAGATTGGTGAGCTGTTAGGAGTTAAGACATTTGCGAATTCCTACTATGGCTACCATCTGTTCGGGAAACTCATCAAGAATCGCGTGGTGCTTGAACACTACGTGACGACCACCAACGGAACGTGGCACTGGGACGGAAGTGACGTCATACTGGACTGGACCAATAAGACACTTCCTGGTGGGATACTGACGGTATGTGATGGAGTGGATGAAAGTTTATCCTTAGCGCATCTTTCGTTTGTTTGTTGTTTAACACCGCAGATTACAGCGGTGGTTTGTAAATACTCGAGTCAGGATCAACCAATTCAGTGATCCACAGCATGAGCATCGATCTAATCAATGGAAACAATAACATGCAACTACCATATCAGCGAGCCTGACCACCCGACCCCGTTAGTCGCTTCTTATGACAAGCATGGGTTGCTGAAGTCCAATTCGAACCCGGATCTTCACGGGTGCAAGCGAATTGTCAGTACGACGACTTACCGTTTATATTAATCAGAAGGGTTTATTTTTTAAGAGTATGATTCACAAACTGTATGATTCACAAACTGTATGATAGAAACGGCGTGGTGTCTTTGAATACAAACATCACTTTTTTTCTAATTCTCAGAAACGATCGGAGGTGATAGGAACATACGCGTTCTGTGGACAGAACCACCTCGCAGCTCTCGGAGTCGCCATTGGTGTCTTCAGTACTCTGATTCCAGAGAGAAAACACACCATTACCAAGTACATCATCCGTGCTAACATTACAGGGCAGTTAGCATGCTACATGACCGCTTGTATTGCAGGTAAGTTGCAGAAAATCATCAAGCTTCGTGTTAATTATTTCTGGGGCTTGTGGTTAGCGTGGAGGCCGCCATTACAGCTCATTGAGATACTGTTATCCTGCAACTATGTACATACAGTCACGAACACAAACTGTAACCTGATGACAACTTATCATTGTAGAATATACCAACTTGCATGCAGACTGTCGTAGATATTCCAAAGTCCGTTTCTAGAATATGGAGAATATTGATAACAACAGATTATATGATATGAAATAACATAACTCTCGGGTGTACACATTTCGTTGCATTCCATCCAACTGTATCATCTACGGATAGGTGTATCGGCAAAATGAAACCAACTGTAAGTATATAAGGTTGAGTCAAGTACGAATATATATGCAAATGTCAGGTAGGTCCGAACTATTCATCTGGGACCATCGTTTTTCATTCATTTTCAATCATATATAAATTACTGAAATAATTAACGCACTGGGGTGATCAATTTTCTTGTTGGTGAATTGTAGAAGTGTGTTTTAGTCTTTAAAATATGGGCGGTGGGGTAGCCTAGTGGTTAAAGCGTTCACACGTGACGCCAAAGGCCCGGGTTCGATTTTCCACATGGGTACAATGTGTGAATCCCATTTCTTGTGTCCCCCGCCGTGATATTGCTGGAATATTGCTAAAAGCGGCGTAAAACCCAACTCACTCACTGAATTTGAAATAGTCTTATATCTACCTAAATACCATTTTCCCTCTCAAGATAGACTCAAAAGTGTTCAGCCCGACTTGGCCCGAACTGCCAAAAGCAATCTATATATACGTTTCATGAAATGTATGTACATTTATAGATTAGTATTATATCTACCAAGATGTGATATGGCATGACATTTGAGAGGTTTATGCAGCTATTGACGTTAAGTCACTGTGAACCGTCGGGGCCAAGCCGGACTGAACACTTCCGAAAAGAACTATGATGACAGTATAGAAAAATCATTCTTCACTTTGGAAAACGTGTTTGTTTTAATCACTATGAGCTTTGAGACAATAAATAAATAAATGTAGATGTAAGGATGTCTAACGATGAGCAAATGCATTAACAGAGAAGTTCGTACAAAACACCATGCACGTCCCCATGACAGCTCGGGGCATGTCGACCTGAACAACACAGGCTAAACATATATGAGAATACGGGATAATGGATCCTTTCTTACCAAAGTGTTTGTTATATACGATGAACTTTGATATTTCCCAAACAAATATCACGTCAGAAAAAAAGTCTGTATTTCTTTTGTAAGATATTAAGAATTTAGTACCGGATTATTTGTCGTCCTGTAAAAAGTGTGCAACGCAGGCAAATAAACCTTAAGAAACAGGCCTAATGTACAAAGTATATAATGTAAAATGACTGGTTACTCACACTATTGTCCCGCATACAGTAAATATTCGGAATTCCCTTCCTGTAGATTCTTCCAGTGTTAGTTCACTCGCCGAAGTCAAAACACCATTAAAGGAACATAGTGTGTATAGTACATATACATGTATAGTATGACCCGAAATTATTGAGAATTTTAGGAATATGTTTAATTGGATTTCTAGTATACACAACCTTGACCAGCTATCAAGTGTTTGGTTTCATTCAAGAGAGACAACTCCGTTAATCCTTTTTCATTAGTTTGTGAAGAGTTATCCCCCCTATGTTTACTTGCTAGAAGACGACATTTTCAGTGATCCTCAGTATGGATGATTTAGAGAAGAGGAAGTTGATTTTAGAGTATTATAACAAGGACATCAGATCAGCTAAAAATGATTTCAAGTAGAACAGGCATCCCTTTGTCCACTGTTTATCGTGTTTTGAAAAATATTGCAAATGGATATGGCATTGAGCCTGATTGAGCACCAGGGAGGCGCAGGTGCAGGCCCAGAAAATGGACAGTCGGTGACAGGAGGCGGCTTGGTATTCTTGTTTCTAAAAACAAACGAAGGAGTTTAGAAACCTTAAGGCTGGATATGATTGATAGATGAACTCTGTCTGTCTGTAAAGAGACAATTAGAACTGAACTTCATGCAATGGGTTGGCACAGAAAAGTCGAGGAATTCCATCATCGATCATGAAACCTGAACAAAAGGAGCGAAGGTTGAACTGGTGCTTACAGCATAGAAATTTTAACTGGGACAATGTGATTTTCCCAGATGAAAGTTCTGTGTGGCTGTTTCCTAATACACTGAAATTCTGAACCAAACAAACCGAAAACCTTTGTATCAGCGCCCAAAGTACAGTCCGACATTTAACGTGTGGGGTGGCATATCTGTGTTAGGGGAACGCCCCTCTGTGTATTTGAAGGGGATACAGTGAGCGGTACACAGATATTCTTGAGGGACATTTATTTCCATCTGCTAACGTGTTCTATGGAAAAAAATATATTTTCCGGCAGGACAACAGCCCAAAACATCGTTCAAAGCATTCACAGGCCTAGTTTTGGACCCAAAATAGGACATTATTAGATTGGCCAAGCTATTGCCCTGACCTAAATCCAATAGAAAATGTTTGGGGACTTATGAAGGAAAGTGTCAATAAGAAAAATCTGACAAATATTGTTGAAATGAAAAAAGGGGTGGTCCGATATTGGGACAGCATGGACCACGACTTTCTAACTTCTTTGATCAGTAGTATGCCCCGCCGCATTGAAGCCTGCATTGCTGCCCATGGTGACCTGACAAAATACTAACTGTTCACCTGTCTCTGAATCTGGAGTTATGTTCTGCTAATATTCACATTTAATACGTGAGTAATGAGTGTAAAAAATATAAAAAATTACAATCTTTAAATTCTCAATAATTTCTGGTTGTACTGTATATTGATTTGAACTACGGATAGAAATTCTGCCAAATTAGACATATTCGATTCCGGCTTGGGTCCAGTATTCCCAATGCAGGCAAATGTGCCAAATTTACCGACAGTCCTCAGTCAGTTCTATATGTAATTGCGGTTATTATAATGAAGACGCACTTCGTTTTCTTTTATCTGCCTCATGGCGGTGGGGTACCCTAGTGCTTAAGGAGTTCGCCCTTCACGCCGAAGACCCGGTTCGATTCCCAACATAGGCACAATGTGTGAAGCCCATTCCTGGTGTCCCCCGCCGTGATATTGATGGAATATTAGTAAAAGCGGAGTAAAACCATACTCACTCACTCATTTTATCATAGATAAAGAATGTACTTTTAGGTTTAAGTATACGACATGTTTTCTATTCTCCATGGCCCCTCAGCTTCGACAGAAAACGTAAATCTTGAAATTATGAAATCCGTACACAGTATCATAGTTTCATATCGCGGATTCTCAAACGTTGGATAAACACATCTTCAGAACATCAAAAAATATGTCCCTTGCTATAGGACAATTGTTTGTATAATATCAATTCAGTTATTAATTAATACCATCAACTTCAGCTTGTAAAATTGTTGATTAAAGTGCTTTGTCACCATTCATGTGAACGTCACATTGCATGTTAAAGGAGGGAGGGGCACTGAAATACATGTCGTTTCACTGATTGGTGATTTTGGCATGAAGGTTCACTGATCGTTCACAGATCGTTATATCTATAAGTCACAGTCACTATGGCTGTTCCATTGTCTCCATCTGTGCTGCACCCGTGAGGATCAGGGTTAGAATTGGTCTTCAGTAACCCATGCCTGTCGTAAGCTCCGACTAACGGGATCGGGTGGTCAGGCTCGCTGATCAGTTTGACACATATCATCGTATCCCAATGGCGTTGATCAATGTTCATTAGGGCTGGGACGGGTAGGAAAAAATGGAATCGAGTACCCGCATGTACTTACCCGAATCGGAATCGAGTACCCGGAAATGTAAAGAATACAGCGCTTCTGTCAACTTTCTGAAGATTCAATCACGAGTTGACAGAGATTATTATAGAAAACTCGAAAGGATGGCAATAAGACATTAAAACAGATCTTAGGCTATTTAATTTACGTCTGTTAAACCAATATGAAGAGTAACACCATACCTTACATTCATCGTTAAAACACAGACCATTTCGTACTCTCTGTTACTGTAACTTTCACTACTCACTGCGCAGATAAATTACAGTCGTTATTAATATTCTGCATTAATCGGACAATACCAATGATGTAAATGTGTGTTACGTCAATTATGAAACAGAGTTCTCTCCCTCTCCGCTACTCGATTCCAAGAAATAGGACTCGATTCCGGCTGTACCCGACCCGGATTCGAGTACCCGAGTACTCGTCCCATCCCTAATGTTCATGCTGTTGATCATTGGATTGTCCGGTCCAGACTCGATAATTTACAGACCTTCGACATATACCTGGATATTGCTGAATGCGGCGTAAGACAATAACCAATCAACCGGCCGACCAACAACTCTGTCTGTGTGGGCTTCCATGTCTTCACTATCAGCAATTTGTGCTCTTGTCACCGCCACTTTGGTCACTACCTGGCACTATCAGTGCTCATTACCAGGACTTGTTGCGCCTGGATTAACAGATGGCTTCTATTTCTCCATTGCCATTACCGGTCAGAGACATTTACCTACTGTTAATGTATTAATTCAGTTCAACATCGTGCAGCTTTTTAGCCGTCGGAAGCAAAACTCCAAATTTAGCAGATTGTGGCGAAATGGGCTGAGTTTCTCAGTACACTAAACAAAAAATTGAGATTCTCCATTTTGGGCGTAAACTTCATTTACTTGAACTCAGTAGAATACCATTGTTTGTAGATGGTCGCGACATTGGAGGAGATCTTGGTATTTGAAGCTCATGAATTATTGGATAGTTTTCATTTACCTATGAATGAACTGTTTAGCATTTCACATGAGGAGTTGTTGCTAAAGAACATCTTCAGGCGTTAGACTGTTTTGATTGCTTTTCTAGGCTTTGGAATGCTAAAGGGCAAGGAGAATGGAAATACATTACGTACTTATCGTCTCTTTAAAGATTTATTACAGATTGAACATTATATTGAAATAATTCTTCCAAGATCACTTTGTAGTATCTTGAATAAATTCCGTTGTGGCATTTTGCCCTTAGAGGTATAACTAGGTAGATATTCTCGTCCGAAGTCTGTAGTAGCAAAGCTGTTGAGGACGAATTACATTTTCTGATTAACTGTGATTATTATTCAGATCTTAGATATAATCTTTGCAAAGAAATAACCAGGGGAAATAGCCACCTGTAGGAATAGTTGAATCTATTTCAGTCATAATGTCAGCATCAACTCATTAACATGTTTGCTATTTATATATTTTATGCTTTTTAGTGTAAGAACGTGTGTGTATGCGTGTGCGTGGGTTGGTGTTTGTGTATATGTCCGGGCTTGAGTGTGTGTATGTACGAGTGTGATGTTATTACCAATGTTTTTATACAACTGTGGTATTATCTGTGTCTCATAGGCCATATGGCCGGATGCTGCTTTTAAATTCCTGTTTAATGTAACGTCTCTTCTAATGAATTGCAGCATGTGACACAATAAACTATACTTCTACTTCTTCCTGCTGACTTCCCCTGTTGTGTGCCCTTCCTCCTTTATCATCCTATCACTGTTGTTATTTGCCATGTACTTATGCTTATATACACATGCTCCCTGGTTTCAATTCACCCGATGGAGGAGCAGAAATACTCTTATGCATGTTCCTCATGTTAGAGACTTTGACATTCATCAATTTTCACTTGTAGTACTTCTGACATATGTTGTATTTGGGATTGCACTTTCTTAGTAAAGTACAGATTCTAGTACTTTTGTTGTTGTTTTTTTGTTTTTATTTTTTTGTTTTTGTTGTTTGTTTTTTGTTGTTGTTTGTTTGTTTTATTTGTTTGTTTTTAATCATTTGAATACTTCAAAAGTCCATTCAGAGACTTGAATGTTATGACGTTATTGAATAAACATTTGGTTTCAGAGTTTGGGAAAGTTATGCATTTATTAACGCTGGAGGTGTATCTGACCAGATCTGCACGTTTGAGTTTATTATTCTGCAATCCACTTTTAGCATTATACGCAGGCCCGGCCCGGTCCTTTGCATGGGTTTTGGACAGTCCCAACTGATACCCTTCTTGTGTGAGTAAGTGAGTGAGTATGGTCTTACACCGCTATTAACAATATTCCAGCAATATCACGGCGGGGTCACCAGAAATGGGTTTCACACATTGTACCCTTGGGGAATCGAACCCGGGTCTTTCAGCGAGACAAACGAACACTTTTACTTCTAGGCGACTTCACCAGAGGCATCACCAAAGACCTGTTTGATATTGATCCTTGTCCATTTCGAAATATACCGATAGTTCTACAACTCCCATTGTAATATTTTCCTTGAGATAATAATAGAGGCCGATGCGGGAGATATCTATCGATTACCAATGCACTTTAACACATGTTCATTTAACTCGTCCCTATTGTCACAGGTATGCTGTATGACGAGACTCTAACCTAACAACGGGGGTGGATTTAAGGCCAGCTTTAGAAGCAGGTTCCAAGCAAGGTTCCAAGCATCAACTCGCAGTCTCGTTATTGTCAGCCGAAGAAAGAAACTGATTGTTATCAAATACGTTACCAATTTACAGTGGATCTAAATGATAAAGAACTGAGATAATAAATAGTTGTGTTCCTTGGATTAAACTCCTTTGCATACGCGCCTAGAGAAGCTGTTGATATGTTGATGGGGCGTGTTCTGTTTGTTAACATTTATTTATTAAACGTAATTTACGTTTATAGACTAGTATTATATCTGTCTGATGATACCGTTTATAATGTCACATTACATGACAACATTATAAAGATTGGTGGTGCGTTATAACGAAATGACCCTTTTCCTCTATGAAACCCTTTTCCTCTCCATTCCCAGGATTGCATCTAATTAAACGTTTAAACATGGTTTAAACACTACGACTTGAGACACTGTAAAGTTGTATTTAGATATGAAATTGTTTGTGGGTATGTACATATGCTATGATACGTTTGTGTCGGTTATGTGGCTGTTGACAGGTGAGATACAAAAACATTTTGTTCCTATATGTAGGATTAAACTCCTTAACACATTCGCTTCTTTGAGCGGTTGATCTCTGGATGTTGATTACATATCTACACCGCAATGTGAATGCAATAAAGCAACTGAAAATGGTTTACATTATAGAGATTTAAACAAGAAGACAAAGTCATCAATATCCCCCGCAACGGCAAAATACTCTTTATGAATATGTCTACTAGTTATGATTGTGTCAAATGTTTTGGAGTGTATACAGCAAAATGGAAGGAGAGTATTGAAAGGTTTTTAAGATCTGCTCCAGCAAGGATCACTACCACCGAATTCAGTTGAAGCCTAACGTGTTGCCATGGAAATGCAACAAGATAACATCCTAGGTCATGTTTCCATGGAAACCACAAAACTAAAATTCATATCTGGGTAAAAAAAAAAAAAAAGGCACATCTAGGGATCATACTTGATATGTGTACCAAGTTTGATGAAGCTAGCATGTTTAGTTTAGGAGATCTGCTCTGGACAAGATGACATCCCCATAGCCACAGCATAAGTCATGTTTCCATGGAGACAGCAAAAAACAATATTCATATCTGGGTCTAACCCCCAAAAGGCACATCTAGGGATCATGCTTGATATGTGTACCAAGTTTGATGAAGCTAGCATGTATAGTTAGGAAGATCGGCTCCAGACAAGATGACATCCTCATAGCCACAGCCTAAGTCATGTTTCCATGGAAACAGCAAAAAATATAATTCATATCTGGGTCTTACCCCCAAAAGGCACATCTAGAGATCATGCTTGACATATGTAGCAAGTTTGATTAAGCTAGCATGTATAGTTTAGGAGATCTGCTCCGGACAAGATGACATCCTCATAGTCACAGCCTAAGTCGTGTTTCAATGGAAACCGCAAAAAATAGAACTCGCATCTGGTTGACATATGTACCAAGTTTGGTTAAGCTATCACGAATAGTTTAGGAGATATGCTTCGGACAAAGTGTGACGGACGCACGGACGGACGGAACTCGTGTCTATATCCCCCGCAACTTCGTTGTTGCGGCGGATAATTACACCTGATTATGTGGATGACTGATGTGAAGTGTAAACAGTCTGGGTATTGATTGCTGAACAAGCATTGCAAATATAACAATTCCTGATGTGTAATAGCTACAATATACTTATTTCAAGTCGCAAACGCATTCGTGGCGTGCATCTGACACTTGAAAGAATGTGCCAGGAAGATGTAAAAACCAAAACGAGTTCTTCAGTAAAATTATAAACATCCTCTGGTGAAAATTATGATATTCTGCGACTGAAATTACATATTCCATCTCGCCGTCAAAAATAGAATCTAAATCCGAAACGAAATCATTCGACAAATTGCTATTAGAAACAGCTTTCATTGGAATAGGCATACAGTTATACAAGTAATGCAGTGTTTCTTATAAACTAGTGGGCAAAAGAAAGTGAACACAGCTTATTAACGATCGATAAAATCAAAGCTAAACATACAATGTGTTTAAGTTATAGTACATTTGAAAAAGCCAGCATTTGGGACAAAGCACCCACAGTGTCTATGGTAAACTCCTCACAGAGAAAGAGCACGTGTCATGTAATGGACAGATGGGTAGGAATAGCAAAGTGCACAGACACAACAAGAGTCAATCATGGAATGTCTCCGTCATATCAAGTCTCTGGTCACGCATACACATCCTTAGTAACGAGTGTGACCACCTCTAGCAGCAATACACATCCAGACTCACTGTCTCGTCGATGTCGTCAGCCGCCGAATGACGTCATTCGGAATCCTATTCTACTCGTTCCTGAGAGCGTCTTCAAGTTCTAGTCGGTTTGCTAGGGGCCGTGGCCGTCTTCTTACCTGGCCGTTTCGGCCTAAAAGGATTTTACTAACTTGGACAACTTTGCCAAAAATTCAAAATAGAAAGTGTTCATTTTCTTTTGCCCATGAGTTTATGTTCATAATGTGAGCATAGTTTTTTTATAGTCATTATTATCAGAACGTTTATATGTGAGAGATGTTTTAATTCCTTTATATTTCATGATTCATATTTTCAATATTTTAATAAATTTGTGCGCGCCATAAAATTGCCAAGTATGCAAAATTCAATAGAAAACTTTGACAATATAATAATAATAAGAAGAAGTTTATTGTATTGTAGGCGTTCTGCCCATATACAGAGTACTAAAAATGTACAGTCACTCCCACAGTCAGATGCTGTATGACATCAGTTTGGATTATACAATATGTTTAAAGCGTCATTTCTTAAGTTTGTTGTAGGTTTTAAAATGAAACAAGATAATGCAATTTCTGGTGGTTTACCTAAGTACTTTCTGGGTATATACAGAATTCTCATGTTATTAAGGATATGTAAAGTGGGTATATACAGAATTCTCATGTTATTAAGGATATGTAAAGTGGGTATATACAGAATTTTCATGTTATTAAGGATATGTAAAGTGGGTATATACAGAATTTTCATGTTATTAAGGATATGTAAAGTGGGTATATACAGAATTCTCATGTTATTAAGGATATGTAAAGTGGGTATATACAGAATTCTCATGTTATTAAGGATATGTAAAGTTGGTATATACTGAATTCTCATGTTATTAAGGATATTATGCAAAGGCAAAGTGGATTTCATTCTCTACACCTCGTTTACATAACACACAAATCCTTTTATTTTTATCAGTCCCTATTTTTCTACGTTCCTGACAAACCCAATCTCAACCAAACAACTAAGTCACGTAACCTACCAGAGGTAAGTATGAAAAGGTATTTTTCGGGTTCAAGAAGACCTTTAAACTATCTGTAAGATTCATACAGTGTACTTTCGTTTAAATACGAATGCCAATTTTGAAAAAAAAAATTATGGATCGTTCCCTGAATTCATATTTAAATATACGAACATTACCAACTGTCTGGAACAACTATTCGGTGCCATAGCCGTATGAGTGAGTGAGTGAGTTAAAATTTAAAGTCACATCGGCAATATTTCAGCCATATCGTGACTAAAACTAGTTCTAAATTTACAATACATACAGATAATATATAAAACCCTGTCAACGAAGGACAGTAAAACCACTAGAGTATCACAAAATGAGTTAAAATTAGCTAGCATATAACCTTAAAAGTAGACAAATATTTTCGGACAATACAATGTAAAAATGGGCCAGTAATCGCCAACAACTGAAGGTAGATCACCATACTAGGGACCATGGGGACTTCCATAGCCATATGAGAAGTGAGGTTTCGAATGTGTGAAGCCCATGTTACCTTACCTATAGTGTCTAAGTCTAGGAGCATATCGTAGGCTATTTTCGGTAGACGATGTTCATACATGTCTAGAATTGTTAACCAGAATTTAAGGCATCAAATTTGTGAAGCTATATGTAGTGGATATCTACCATTTCACCATATACCATAGAATTCGGCGTAGGCCCGACCCTAAGATATTTTTTACATGCCAAAAGGTGTTATTTTTCTAAATAAATCGGACATTTTTTCAAAAACCCAGAGTCAAATGATTATTTTACATGAAATTTACAAAGGCTTCAGTGATAACCGTTTTTGAATTAATTCATATGAAGTAATAAACAGTTCCATCGGAAACCATCGGAAACCAACCTGGGATTCGGGTAGTTTGTCAATAATGTATTGATTGACTAAAACGGCAAAATTTCCGTGAATATTCTGCAATTCTGCTGTGAGTCTCTGCAAACCTTTCCTCGATAACGTAGCTGCAGACTTTTCGGGTAGTGAGGGTGGCTGACGAACGATGCATGTCACCGTATCCCAGTTGCGTAGATTGATGCTCATGATGTCAGTCACTAAACTGGTCCACTCCCAATTATTTACAGTCCGACGGCATATATCTGGTGGATACTCGGAAAACAAGCAATACAATCAAACATGTTGTGATGACAACGTGACCGTTTCAAACTATCATACGAATGGGTGTCGTAAATAGTGATGTTCGTTAGGCTGTACTGAGGTAATCTAGGGCAAAGTGACTATACCAGTACACGATGTACAATTCAGCAATTATTACCGTGTCGTCAAATGCATCCGATTCCATTTGTATTACATTATTTTGTGATTTTTAACCCATCGACCACATTCACGCAGACAACGTTTTGTTGGTCATGTTCAAATGCCTCGCAATCAATAGTTAAACTGTCATTTATTTGACTGTAAAACAAGTCCTACAATAATATGTCTTTACACAATGGAGTTTAAGTTGTAGCTGACGCAGCGCGAACACTGCTTTCGTGATACAATGGGTCTCTACAATGTGTTTAACGAGTGACCGAACTGCCATTTGTAACAATAGTTTCCACCGAGTACACGTTAATTGTTGTCCTTGAAAGTCATTATCTGATGTCATCTTCATCGACTGATCTCCTAATGGTAGGACAGGAACTGTTTACCCTCCTTGCAAATGCCGTACTGCTTTCGTGATACAATGGGTCTCTACAATGTGTTTAACGAGTGACCGAGCTGCCATTTGTAACAATAGTTTCCACCGAGTACACGTTAATTGTTGTCCTTGAAAGTCATTATCTGATGTCATCTTCATCGACTGATCTCCTAATGGTAGGACAGGAACTGTTTACCCTCCTTGCAAATGCCGTACTGCTTTCGTGATACAATGGGTCTCTACAATGTGTTTAACGAGTGACCGAGCTGCCATTTGTAACAATAGTTTCCACCGAGTACACGTTAATTGTTGTCCTTGAAAGTCATTATCTGATGTCATCTTCATCGACTGATCTCCTAATGGTAGGACAGGAACTGTTTACCCTCCTCGCAAATGCCGTACTGCTTTCGTGATATAATGGGTCTCTACCATGTGTTTAACGAGTGACCGAGCTGCCATTTGTAACAATAACTGCTTTCGTGATATAATGGGTCTCTACAATGTGTTTAACGAGTGACCGAGCTGCCATTTGTAACAATAGTTTCCACCGAGTACACGTTAATTGTTGTCCTTGAAAGTCATTATCTGATGTCATCTTCATCGACTGATCTCCTAATGGTAGGACAGGAACTGTTTACCCTCCTCGCAAATGCCGTACTGCTTTCGTGATATAATGGGTCTCTACCATGTGTTTAACGAGTGACCGAGCTGCCATTTGTAACAATAGTTTCCACCGAATACACGTTAATTGTTGAACTCGAAAGTCATTATCTTATCTTAATAGACTAATCCCTAATGGTAGGACAGGAACTGTTTACCCTCCTCGCAAATGCCTGATTTTCAGTAAACCTTTCACATAACTGATATTTTGTTGACGTTTTGTATACACAACACATAAACTATGCCTTTTATTCTGATAAAGCAATATTCGACCAAGCAATTTGCAAATGTTCAGAGAAGTTTCTCTGTACAATGAAAGTCAATATGATGGCTGTTTCTTGTGACGGGCTGGTCATTGTTCACATTTTGTTTGAAGTGACACTAAGCAGAGGAAATTGGCGGTAACACATACAACAGTTTATGATACCCAAACCAAAGTCTATCCGAAGCTACTTCGTTGAATAATTACATATATTGACTATTCAATATTGTGTCGGTGACCTGGAAATTTGTATGGAAACGTGTTTTTTTAGTTCCAGCTGTGAATTCAATATGTTGTTGATCCCAAATATCTGGACACAATGTGGTGAACTTCGTGGCGTACGTCTTAAGCAGAATCTGATATTTACTGGGCACATTTCTTTCTTTCAATAGCATCACAGATCGCTCGCCATCATGCCTCCCTCCGTAGAAGTACTTGGTGGTCTTGTGGACGTATCAAAGAGTGAGTGAGTTTAGTTTTACGCCGCATTCAGCAATATTCCAGCTATATGGCGACGGTCTGTAATTAATCGTGTCTGTATCAGACAATCTCGAAATCAACAGCATGAGCATCGATCTACGCAATTGGGGTACGATGACATGTGTCAACCAAATCAGCGAGCCTGACCACCCGATCCCGTTAGTCGCCTCTTCCGACAAGCATGGGTTTCTGAAGATCAATGCTAACCCGGATCTTCACGGGTTAGGTATCAATTAACCATTTTCACAATAGCAGACTCTCCATAAACGTAGTGGATCGTGAAATATACATATAATAGCAGGCTGTCAGATCACCATTTATACAAGACTACCAGAGTCAGAACGGCTCCTGAAACAAAACTGAACGGCTTAACGCTCCCGGAACATTATACAAGAACTATGCATTTCAACCCACTCGCCCGTTCTTGGGGAGAGAGCATGATGGCTCAGTCGCTGTAGGCGCCGCAGTTCTCCCTTCAGTGTTGTATCTCTTGGCACGCCAGAACCAAATCTTCGTGGGTTCAAATCTATTTCTCCCGTTTGAGTGAGTGAGTATGATTTTACGCCGCTTTTAGCAATATTCCAACAACATCACGGCGGGGGACATCAGAAATGGGCTTCACACATGTGGGTAAAATCGAACCCGGGTCTTCAGCGTGACGAGCGGACGCTTTAACCATCAGGCTACCCCACCGCCTCCCTCCCGTTTGAGTTCCCAGGCTGATAAGCACCATGGTGGTCATACGTCGGAGACCTGCATCACGTTCTTCTTACATTAAGCTGACCAATCCAGTTACTGGTCTAAGCCGCACTGAACCAACGTCACTTACCAACTCATTGTCATTTTATATCCCCAACCTTTGTTAGAATGAGTGAGTTGATATGGAAATTTGCTCTATGACTGAAACAACGCCGATGCGATAACTCAATCACCTAATATTGAAGCATCGTTTACCTGAGCGTGAGTGAATATGATATTCCAGCCTTTATAGCCTTTAGAGTCGCTTTCGTCCAGTAATACGAGTGAGTGAGTTTAGTTTTACGCCGCACTCAGCAATATTCCAGCTATATGGCGGCGGTCTGTAAATAATCGAGTCTGGACCAGACAATCCAGTGATCAACAGCATGAACATCGATCGACGCAATTGGGATACGATGGCATGTGTCAACCAAGTCAGCGAGCCTGACCACCCGATCCCGTCAGTCGCCTCTTACGACAAGCATGGGTTACTGAAGATCATTTGTAACCCGGATCTTCACGGGCACTTTTTTTGGAGGGTGCTTTAACTGTAGTACGTAACTGGCTGAACATGAAACACTTTCTTCCACACGCTACCAGTCTCTGTTATTCCGAACCCGGATCGAACAACGTTGTAGTACAGAAAGCACTTCCTGCTTCCATGATCATGGACAAAGTATAAACACCCTGGCGCCCTCAAGCACATGTCCGAGCACTCCAAGTGGTTGATATCTTGACGCCAGTCCAGGATCCCTACCTTGTCCACTGGCACAGACCAAGGTTCGAATGTAGTCACCAATGACGAGCAGGGTATCAGGAGGCTTGAATCTATAAATTAGAGAATCAGTGTCAGTGTATACTCTTAAAAAAAGGAAGAGGAACTTCATTTTAAATTTACGATTGTAAAAAATTGGAAGATATATCGGATGTCAATCAATGTTGGTATTATAATAACACTTCCTTATGACCATAGTTGTTTGTACAGTAATCGCTCTTCAAAGATGATTGGTGTATGACGTGAACTTTGCATGTGTTCCTTTTCAAACGAAAAACGGTTTGGAACAAACACCAACAACTGTGTGATGCAAGATGGATGTCGAAATTAATGATCTACAGCTATGTATCTACAGCTATAACATGTCTGTCTTTGAAAAATTCGTTAACGCTTATACTTCCTTTCCAAATTGAAAGTTCAGGTTCCCCTACTTTTTTAAGAGTATATTTAATGGTTTTCCCGACGTAGAACGTCCACGACCGTGTTTCTTGGCTGGTCAACACCTTACCCGTAGGTTTCAGCAAAGTGTTAAACATCCGAGACCTGCTTCACACATCCTCACACAGTTCACTGCCACGACACGTGTAACTCCTTTGGTACTCTACAATCAACACGAGTGGTGTACACAGAATGAGGTTTTTATTCTAGCAGTACAACTATGTGAGTCCGTGGGAGGCTACCAGGGCAATTCGGCAAAGTGAGGCTGGCACTTGGACACCAGATGGACTGGTCAGCGTTCATCCTTGTCCTTGTTTGCCTTTCTGCTGATCTGTAAGCGCTCTTCCCGCTGTCCAAGACCTCCCCTATCCTGCCTGGTTTTAAAGGCAGATGAACGACTAACACCCTGTTTAGGTAATAATAATATGGATTCTTATATTGCACTAAAGTCAATACCAAAGTGGGCTCAAAGCGCTAACAGAGTTCATACTTCAGGTTTACAATCCATTTCAATTAAACAGGTAGGTCTTAAGATGGAGATGGTTTCAGATCAAATGGGAGAGCGTTCCATTCAACGGCAGCATTATATGCAAAGGATCTTGAGCCTGATGTTTGGGACCTTTAGTAGCTTCTTTGAGTGGCATTTTAGAAGTTGGGAAGTACAATATAGAACAAACTTTATGGATAACCACTTCTTTTTGTTCGTGAGTGCGACGTTTCGATACAGATACTTGTACCAGATTATGCTTGACAACGGTACAAGAATCTGTATCGAAACGTCGCACTCACGAATAAAAAGAAGTTGTTATCCATAAAGTTTGTTCTATATTGTACCTTTAGTAGCATCAGATCACTGGAACGGAGACTTCTTGTACGGACACAGTCTTCTACTAGACCACACAGATCACCAGGAGCTGTATCATTGATACACTGATATGTGAGGGTGAGGATCTTATGATGTATCCGTTCTTTGACCGGCAGCCAGTGGAGATACCAGAGCACAGGAGTGATGTCACAGGACGGTAATTGGACATAATCTGCGTAGCTGGTCATAATGACTGGTCCGAGTTTGACATATCTCGACAAGTGTACACGACTAATGCTATTAAACATGCTATAACTGGATTACTGTTCAAAGTTGTTTTAAATCCACTTTCAGTCATGAACTCATTCACTTGATACCGGTAGTCAACATTTTCAATAATAATGTTTTAGAAACCACTGAAAACCTTTAAACGGTCACTGGTAAATGTAATTTATCAAATAGAATATGTTATATATGAGTCATTCTCAAAATTCGTGCATATTTTATGTAGGCAAAAAATTGTAAATTTTGTTTTCTTGTTTTACTTTGAGAAGTGGTTGATTACGTTCATAGTATTCTGAATATACAAAACATAAATCATGCAAGCTTAACGACGTTTCATTTTTCATATTTTATCCCGTTTATTAGAAATTTCATGAAATTGCATCACTACCGTTACGAAATTTGTAACGTCATTTTGAAAAGAAAAAATCCAAAGATGATATTTATTTAATGTACATATATATTAAACTATCTAGTTTTACAATATAACGTGGCTAATGAGTTTTGAAATTTTATATCTATTGCTTAAAAGGGGGCAAACAAGTCACAAAAATTCTTTCATTTCTGATTTGCAAAAGTAAAGTTATATGTAGAGAAAAATTCACAATGAGAATATGATTTATATTATGCTTACTTGAAGCTCTACTACGAAACATAGTTGCACTACAAATTCCAGACATAAACAGATACATCAATTTTAATTTAATAAGGAAAATGATATTGTGACACAATAACGGTAGTGAAGTTTTAATAATAGCCAGTTTTATATGTTTACTTTAAAAGATAATTTGATGAAATCTGTCAATTAGATATTTAAGAATGTTTGGAGAATATGTAATAGGCAAAAGCGTTACTTATGGATATCACTGTCATGTAAAAAAACAAGTAAACTCTGCACATTACGGAAGTGACATTGTGACGGTATGTAATGTCACTACCGTAACGGCCCTATCACAGCCATTTTCTTCTTTGTCACAGCCGTTACACTTCCCTGTCCTTACTGTAACAAAGAAATCATCCTTATATGCAAATTGATTTTATTCATTTGATCCATTTCTTTATGTTGAATAAGATTCCAAATCATTTGAAATCTTTGAATTGAAAATTTAGGATACAAACAACATCAAACTAGAAAAATGTCACTGCCGTCACAAAATCTGTCCTTACCGTAACAAAACCTATGATAACGGCAAGCATGTAGCTGTAACATCATTAATTATGTTCTGTTAAAACATTTCCTTTGGAAAAGATGAAAAAGACGAACAAATTCGAATTGCACATCGGCCACTGGAGTTGTGACACACGAAAATAGAGTAAAATTGGGGGTTTGGGGTGGGGTTTGGGTGGTGGTGTTCAAAAATAAATATAAAAATGTGTTTTCCCCAATTTTATTATTGTAAATTGTAGAATAAACTGAGATAAATTATAACATAAATGTGCACGAATTATGAGAATGACTCATATGACATAGGTGTATAACATGTTTCTTTAACCAGAGGCCAATGCATTCTGAAACATTCTGACTGGAGGCATGTCTAAAGGTATCAAACTGATATGAATGATAAAATCACCTTACAACATCAAGAACAAATATGGACGTCAGAAAATAACCAGTTTCGATTATACGAGACATAATGATACAAGGATGGATCACTGAGAACCAATGATGATTCCAGATGTTCCTGAAAACGGTGAGCTGTACTTCGTTACCTGGTTCAAAAGAATGTATGTCTCATGCCTGTCCCATCCCCATGATTGTCGTAAGAGGCGACTTAATTTTGCAACCAGTTTTGCCTGATAACTTTCAAGACAATTCCAACCCGTGAACATCCGGGTTACAATTGGTCTTCAGCACCCTACGCTTGTCGTAAGATCTGAGGCGACTAACGAAATCGGATAATCAGGCTCGCTGACTTGGTTAACACATGTCATTATATCCCAATTGCGTCGATCGATGCTCATGCTGTTGATCACTGGATCGCCTGGTCCAGACTCGATTATTTACAGACCGCCGCCATGTAGATTGAATATCGCTGAGTGCGACGTTAAACAGCAACCCAACAAACCTATCCCATTTCAGTTTGTTTCGTATCGTACATGGTACTTACCATACGTACAGATTGGCGTGCCACTAGCGTTCCTCCATGTTCCAGAAGAGTCACACACCCGCAGCCCGACGTCACCATCGTTACGGTATCCATAGCTACATACGTATGTGACTCGATCAAGGTATCTCCTCTGACCAACAGCAATGGCGTTTGGGTAGTGCTCATGTGGAGGGCACGTGACTGCTGAAAAACGTATTGTGAATATGCGAGTGATTACGATGAATGAGTGAAAAACAGACTTCAGAGAAACGCATTTTGAGTGAGTGAGTATGGTACACCGCTTTTATAATATGCCAAAAATACTGTAATGGGACACACGGCGTGGGACACCAGAAATGGGCTTCAACCAATGTCCTCATGTGGGGAATCGAACCTGGGCCTTCGGCGTGACGATTGAACGCTTTACTTCACGCCTACCACACCGCCCCAAACATGCAAAGAAAATAAACACCCAAGGAAGTAGAGCATCTCAGTACTTCCTCGAGTAAAGTGAGAAATGAAGTGATGACAAAGATGACAAAGCTGTCTGCTAGACAGATAGGGAGGGAGATGGGACGACTCTGTGTCGGAGGAAACGATAGATGAGAAGGGAGATGCGGATGACTCTGTGTCGGAGGAAACGATAGATGAGAAGGGAGATGCGGATGACTGTGTCGGAGGAAACGATAGATGCGGAGGAAGATTGACATGACTCTGTGTCAGAGGAAACGATAGATGTGGAGGGAGATGGTGGCGACTCTGTGTCGGAGGAAACGATAGATGCGGAGTGAGACGGAGATGACTCTGTGTCGGAGGAAACGATAGATGAGGAGGGAGATGGACATGACTCTGTGTCAGAGGAAACGATAGATGTGGAGGGATAGATGGTGGAGATGACTCTGTGTCAGAGGAAACGATAGATGTTTGACTCTGTGTCGGAGGAAACGATAGATGCTGAGGGGAGTGAGATGGAGATGACTCTGTGTCGGAGGAAACGATGTCGGAGGAGAGATGGAGACTCTGTGTCGGAGGGATGGAGATGGAGATGACTCTGTGTCGGAGGAAACGATAGATGGAGAGATGTGGAGGGGATGATGGAGACGACTCTGTGTCGGAGGAAACGATAGATGAGGATGGGACTCTGTGTCGGAGGAAACGATAGATGAGGATGGAGATGGAGACGACTCTGTGTCGGAGGAAACGATAGATGAGGGATGGAGATGGAGACGACTCTGTGTCGGAGGAAACGATAGATGAGGGATGGAGATGGAGACGACTCTGTGTCGGAGGAAACGATAGATGAGGAGATGAGGAGATGGAGACGACTCTGTGTCGGAGGAAACGATAGATGAGGAGGGAGATGGAGACGACTCTGTGTCGGAGGAAACGATAGATGAGGAGGGAGATGGAGACGACTCTGTGTCGGAGGAAACGATATGGATGAGGAGGGAGATGGAGACGACTCTGTGTCGGAAAGATAGAAACGATAGATGAGGGAGATGAGGAGGGAGATGGAGATGACTCTGTGTCGGAGGAAACGATAGATGAGGAGGGAGATGGAGACGACTCTGTGTCGGAGGAAACGATAGATGAGGAGTGAGATGGAGACGACTCTGTGTCGGAGGAAACGATAGATGAGGAGGAGATGGAGACGACTCTGTGTCGGAGGAAACGATAGATGAGGAGGAGATGGAGACGACTCTGTGTCGGAGGAAACGATAGATGAGGAGGGAGATGGAGACGACTCTGTGTCGGAGGAAACGATAGATGAGGAGGGAGATGGAGACGACTCTGTGTCGGAGGAAACGATAGATGAGGAGGGAGATGGAGACGACGACTCGATAGATGGAGGTGATCGGAGGAGATGGAGATGACTCTGTGTCGGAGGAAACGATAGATGAGGAGATGGAGATGGAGATGACTCTGTGTCGGAGGAAACGATAGATGAGGAGGGAGATGGAGATGACTCTGTGTCGGAGGAAACGATAGATGAGGAGGGAGATGGAGACGACTCTGTGTCGGAGGAAACGATAGATGAGGAGTGAGATGGAGACGACTCTGTGTCGGAGGAAACGATAGATGAGGAGGGAGATGGAGACGACTCTGTGTCGGAGGAAACGATAGATGAGGAGGGAGATGGAGACGACTCTGTGTCGGAGGAAACGATAGACTCTGGAGTGAGATGGAGATGACTCTGTGTCGGAGGAAACGATAGAAGTGGAGGGAGTCGGTGGTGACTCTTTGTCTGCGGGAACGATAGATGTGGAGGCTGGTGGAAATTGCACTTTGTCTAAGGAAACTACAGGTGCCGAGGCAGACTGCGCTGACACGTAATCTGTCTGCTGGAACAAGAAGTTTTAGATGCATTGATGATATTTACTCTGATTGATCAGGAGGTGGAGTGCCACTTACTCTGTCAGAACTGCACAAAATACAAAAAATACACACTTGCAGTCTTTTTGGATTTCTCCTGGAAGAGAACCAGGTGTCATCCAAACATTACACAAATAGGTTTAAAAGGGGCATTTCTAAATTTTGCATCAGCCTCTCTAACAGACAGAGGCTTTATGGTCTCCATAGACCATCAAATCTCCCAACACTAGAAAATGGCACACACCGGGGAAGAATCATCTCAGCCACCCTCTTCAATGTTATGGTTGATGATATATCCAACAAACTCACTAAAAACACATACAAATTCCAGTTTGCCGACGATGGAGCAATATGGGTTAATGAAAAAAATATACACAAAGCACAAAAACAAATTCAAGCTGCACTTAACCATATTGAAAACTGGACCAACCAAAAGGAGTTCCAACTAAAACAACAACTGTAGTATTCAAAGCACAACATCGAAGTAAACAAAACGTACATCTTTATATTAACAAACAAAAATTACCGCAATCAGATACAGTAAAATGTCTAGGTCTAATCTTAGACAAGCACTTAACATGGAACAAACACACTCAATTCATACAATAAAAATGCACGCAGATCTCAACATTATTAAATACCTATCACATAGTAAATTGGGTAGCAACAAACAAACATTACTACAGTACTACTATATATATCACTCATCAAATCTAATGTACTCTATGGCTGCGAAATATGTCAAGGTATTGCACAAAAACATAAAAACAAACTCATTTCCGTCCAATTCCAACCACATAAATGTATAACTGGAGCCTTCCCAGGAACATCCTTCCAAGCATTATTGGTAGAATGCGGGGAACTGGACCTCACTCTCGAATGGGAAAGATTACCCCATTACAAACAAGACTGAAAACCACTATACATCTCTTACAAAATAAAAATAAAATAATTATCAATAAAGGCAAATACCCAAAACCTTTTGGACACAAAATACAGGAAATTAAACAACAACTTGATGTATATACTACAGAATATAATACAAACCCATATTACAAATCTCTTCCTCCAGCATTACTGCCCAAAATCCTGACCAACACAAAACTGAACACAATATACTTAATAAATTCACAGTGCAAGAAATCATACAACAAAATTACAATCCACAAGATTATGTTCACATTTATACAGACGGATTCAAGGACCAAAATGGTAATGCTGGTTTTGGTATCTACATACCCGAAAAAAGCCTTAAACAATACTACAATCTCCCAGCAAACTCCAGTATCTTCACAGTAGAACTCGCAGCCATAGTTCAGGCCTTGCAAACAACATCTGACCAAACAAACACTACCATCTGCATTTTAACGGATTCCGTAAACCATAACCAGATTAAGATTAGCAAATTGCAATCTTAATCACTATCTACACAAAATCAACCTTCATCCAAACGACAAATGTATCACTTGCCAAATTCCTGAAACAATAGCCCACACTATCTTTTACTGCTCAAAATATAATACACAAAGAACCCCATTTACCAATGCATTAAAACAGTACCTCAACAATGGTAACTCTTCTGATCTCAAGCACATTCTAACAAACCCCAAATTAATTAAACCACGCACTAAATATCTCATTCATACAAAATTATACCAAACAATCTAGTAACAAAAACAATAATACACTAATTCCACTTTTTTTCCATTTAAAAAAATTGTTATAAGTATGTATATATGTTCTTTTAACTTTAAAAATGAGTTCTCTGTTTTTATCAACTTCATTTTTTAACCTTTTTTATGTTTATCATTATTCACTAAATAAATATGTTTTTAAGCATGGGTTGGGTGTAAAAACAAAAAACAATAACAATAACCACTTATTACACTACATCTATATTAAATTCCAAGTCATCTGGGGCGGTGGGGTAGCCTAATGGTTAAAGTGTTGGCTCGTCACGCCGAAGACCCGGGTTCGATTCCCCACATGGGCACAATGTGTGAAGCCCATTTCTGGTGTCCCCCGCCGTGATGTTGCTGGAATATTGCTAAAAGCGGCGTAAAACCAAACTCAGTCCAAATCATCTATTACTCTTAACCTATTTCATAATTGTTACCTTTTTAATTCCGACTCCCATTCAAATTTCCCTTAATACTCAGTTTTTGGGGTTTTTTCACTATTGGGGTGTATTTTTTTGTAGTAACACCACTCTTTCAAAATTATATTTTTTGTTCCCCCTCATTTCTTAATATTTCATTTAGGTCCCCAAACCTCGAAATTTAAATCACCTCGAAAGCTCTGGGGGGTCTCAAACCTCGAAATTTTAGTACCTTGAAAATTTCCCGGTATACGGTAAGTGTACTACCCCGTCGCCGAAATACCTTAGTTCCGCGTGCGACGTTAAATAAAGCAAATAACAACAACAACTTACTCTGTCTTAGGGAACAAGTATGAGGACAAGTAGTTGCGAGGTCACTGGTTTCACAGGATCCCCTGGAAGCGTGGAAGTCACATTCGCAGTCTGTGTCAGCTCCTGCCGCTACTGTTGCGGAGTTGAAAGACTTCAAATTAATTCATATCAACACCACTGTAGACTATGATGTGCCGTTGAAAAACAATGCACGAGGCACGGTTTAAAAGACGTTGTGTTATCGCATGTCAGTAACTGTACCTAAAGTGATTCAATCAGGAACCGCGGTTGTAAACTGACGAACAAAAGAAAGTACACACCCGGTGCTTTTAGATTAATTTCCAAAATCGACGTAAATGTTTTGAAAAGAATTTTTACAGTGATATATCAGTAACAGACTTTCCTAAAATGTTGCGAAAACCCCACAGATATCGTGCCCAATTGCGAAGTTGCCAGTCAAAACCACAACACTTTTCAAATAATCCCAAAACACCAGGTGTGTACTTTCTTTTGTCCGTCAGTTTAGCTATCATACCCAAGGGTTCATTGAACGTAAAACAGGAGATCTTCGTCAATGGATGGGTGGTCAGTGGTGGAGGTGAGGTGAGGTGAAATTGGGTTTTACGTCGTGCTTGAGAATATTTCGCTCATATGACGACGTGCATGCGTGTGTATGTGTATGTGCGGCTGCTTGTACTAGCCCAAACTTAAGCTGGTTTTATAGTGCTAGCCCACTGAAATACCATGCCGCAGTGAAGCAGGAATACCCCACTCAGACACATTATACTGACTCCGAGCCGACCAGTCCTTGTACCCATTAATGCCGAGCGCCAGGCAGGGACCAACAAGTACCATATTTTAACGTCTTTTGGTATGGCGCAGTCGGGGATGGAACCCGCGACCTTCCGCTCTCCGGGCGGACGCTCTAACCACTACACCACGGAGGCGGTCGGTCAGTGGTGGAAATTCTGAACCCTTGTTTATGCTCCTTGCTTACTTACCATACTAACAATGCCATAAATACATAGTCAATGCATAAACAGATACAGTCAAACACCTTTGTGCCGAATTTAAACGGCCCTACTTGAACACTTCGAGTAATTCAACGTTAGACACAAACGGAACATGATGGTTAAAGAAGGAATAAGCAGGGACTAGGTTTTTCCTTCGAGACAAACAAATTCGAGAGATCAATAAATTCGAGACAGACATAAGTTCGAGACATCAAAGTTCGACACAAACATGTTTAACCCTAGATGGAAGTAGACACATAACAAGTTTACACATTTCCGGAGGCAATAAAGGCCACTTACTCATACCTCGCCCTTTAAAATTCTAGTTAATACGAGAAGATCATCACCTGAACACTCGGCGCCAGTGTTACAAGACTGAGCACAGTAACACATCATGTATAGCGGATTAATAACGCACTCGTGTATCCCCATCCAGTAGTTGCAGTCTGCATGGGTATCTGTGCACGCCGTCGATCCTGAAACACACAAAACACATTACAGAATGTTGTTGTTTATTGTCGCAACATTCCAGCAGTCTAGTGGTCAACATTATGGGCTTCGTTTTCTGTAAATGATTTGTTTGTTTGTTGTTCGCACTGGGCAATATTCCAGCTTTATGGCGGCGATCTGTAGATACTAGTGGTGATGCGATTAATTGAAATAATCGAAGATTGGTCGCAGTGACTCAACGACCAAGCAATCGATCATGTTTTCTCATAATCGAACACAAACAATTCTGGAACACTTGTTTTCATCAACAATATTTTTCACAAGGTTGGTTTTGTCTGTTACATTTCGTAACCACTACAAGCTCGTTCCAAATCATGATTGAATTTATCTTAAAGACACCAAGAAATTTATGTTCCTAACATACTACTCGTCCTCTAAGGATGTGAAATTTGCCCCAAAACATCAAAAAAACTACATGTTTTTTTCCCTTATTTTTTTGTGCATTAACAAATTTCATAAATGACGCTGACAAATTATTTTCGATGATTGATCGGTGGTTATGAACCAATCATCAATTATGAGATTTTAACCAATTCCCAACACTAGTACATACGAGTCTGGACCAGAAAATCCAGTGATCAGCAGCATGAACATCGATGTAAGCAGCTGGGATACAGTGACTTGTGTCAACCAAGTCAGCGAGAGTGACCACCCGATCCCCTTAGTCACCTCTTACAAGTTATGTAAATGAGAGACGATGGTATGTATCAACCATCAACCATTGCCTTTTGCAATATTCATAAGTTGTTTTCACCGATTCTACCTGGATCCTCGAGGGCCAACAGAACGTTCGACCAGGATTGCAAAACATCGGCTATTGATGTCGAAGCACTCGTACATATTTGTCAGTATGAGTCAATCGTTATCCATGGGGCTTTAGAAGCAAAATAGCAGAGACAATTATGTGAATGCATAACTGATTGACAGCTGGTGTTCACGAAGATGGTTACACAATAACGTGTGCTGCACCTAGACATAAAACCTTCGGGATGCAGACTGAAAAGCGTTACGTATATTACACGCACTTATTTCCATAAGAGCCGGTAAAAATACTTCTTGTTGTTTTAGCATTGATTCAGCATTATTCCATAAGAATGTTTAAGAACAGAATCATTGATTGTGATAAACAGCGTAGTTTTGGTAATATAAATCAATCGTCTCATTTGATGTACTTTAAAGAAACTAAGTCACTTTTGAATGTTGAATATTATGTAAATTTTATCAACCAAGCAACTGTTGGAAGAAATATTTGCCTTCTTAAATTAAATTCCGTCCCTTTACGATGTAATATAAGAGGTGTGAACGTAGATACGTATTGTAGAATGTGTGAAGAGGGGGTGAATGAAAATGTTATACATTGTTTTAATGTAATGCTTACAATGTAATTAGGGATAGATATAGTCCTGAAAATGGTCTGGTAAATTAAGTCGCTAATTATCATAATATATTAACTAGCAATTGTAGATATACTCTTGTAAATTGTTCTAATTACATCAAAGCAGCTCTTGCGTATAGGAACATCGTTACATCATTAGCCATTTAATTGAATTACTATGTAAAGTTTCTCCTATTCTACAATAATGTACTCCTTTTGTATGTATTGTACATGGGCGGATTGCCTACAAACCGAAATAAAAGAATTGAATTGAATTATATACATATCCATATAAATAATGGTTGGCTGGCTAGTTGGTTTACTGTTAAAGCCGCACTCAGCAATATTCCAGATATATCTAAATAATCGAATCTGGACCAGATCTAGACGATCCAGTTATCATAGCATGAGCATAGATCTACGAAATTGGGATACGATAATGTGTCAACCAAGTCAGCGAGCCTGACCACCCGATCCCGTTGGTCGCCCCTTACAAGCATGGGTTGTTGAAGACCAATTCTAAAAACTGCGTACAATAAGCTACAAAAATGGTGAAATGTTTTTATCATATATGGATCTTGCTTTAAGACGACGTCCAACAACAATGACCTTTGTTATATACGTACACGGTGAATATATATTCTTTGCTGTGTTCTTGGCTTGTTGATTGCAGATGCTACAAAGACTCTTTTCAGCATCCTTTGATAAAATGCACGATCAAGGGAAACGATTTTAAGTGAGTTGTTTTTGTTACCACACTACTTATTTCATCATTATCGCGTGGACGAAATCGCTTTGAAAAATGTTGCATTTATTAAAATTTCGTTTCAGTATACATTCAATGATTTTGCACAGAAACTTCAGAAGGGACGTTGTCCCCTTAATGCAACGTCGCCCGTACGAAACAAGTCAAATCGTGACAAAATTTATCAAGCTTGGAAGTCAATATGTGGGATTATCCATGGCCACTTGTCGCGCTTCCTTTTATTTTGTCACTTTATGTTTGCTTTTGTAAGAACGGCACCCCGTAAATGTCCCGAATAGATCTGCTCATAAATGCAATATAATTGGTATTGGTATAGACGAAGACGAGACAAACAGACACAATATCAACGTGGATTTAGAAACGTCAGACTTCCATATTATTCTTTCTGTGCCCCGGCAGTCTGTTTCACAGTTCCTGAACCGCAATATTTTCTCATTTGCCTAGCCCTTTCTGGAATGCTACAGCTGTAAATGAAGCAAGTCTAGACTTCCACAGGTAGTCTTGATTCCCTCAGGTAGTCTAGATTTCCTCAGGTTCAGTGGTTTGAATCTCCTTTTCTCACCCTTGTATACCTTGTAAATTGTTCTAATTACATCAAAAAAGCTCTTAACAGTTCAACAAACAACAATTGAAAAAGTCCTGCTTGTTTCTATCAAATTTATATATATTTATATTATAGAGACTAAGCGTTGGTAGTGACCAGCCTGAGCAATGGTGAGGTTGTCTACCTGCAATGCAGGCTAGCCATACTGGGCAAACTCTTGAAATGAGATTTGTTCCTGTTGTAAGGCTAGTCTTGTTGTCAGGAAGCATTAACACCACACAAACGGTTCCTTTCGCACTGAAATCATTGTTCCATACGCTTGAGGTATATATTTATTGTTTCAAGTGTTAGGGTTGCCAAGAACATGCATGGGAATTTGGACAACTGAGACAGATGTTCATGCAAAACATGCAAATTGTTCATCCTGAAGTACATGTACTTTTAATTGATCGTAAATAACATAGTTTAAATTTCTCTATACATAACTCCTAAATGTTTCATTGTGTAATTTACTTTGCTAGGCAAGGATGATTTCGAAAGGCCATGGGATCGAAAAAATTATGCCTTGTGGAATATTAATGAGTGCGGCGTTACACAACAAACCAACCCTTGTGTGATAGGTCCTGTATCGTTGACATCAGAAAGGTTGCTATTTTCGTACTGAGTTATTGCGCATGACACCTAAACCACGCATGGGATTTGTATCCTTAAGACATGGATCTACAGGTACTTTGACCTTTTCTATTATTTATGCTGTAGCTGCGTGGCAGCCAAGTGTATGGCACGCGCTTTGTTGTGTTTGTTTGTTTGTTCTTTAATGCTGCACTCAGCAATCTTCCAGCTATATGGCGGCGGTATGTAAATAATCGAGTCTAGACCAATTTCAACATCATGAACATTGATCTGCGTAATTGGGAACCGATGACATGTGTCAACCAAGTCAGAGATTCTGACCACCCGATCCCGTTAGTCGCTTCTTATGACAGGCATGGGGACAAAAGATTGAAGGGCACAGGGGAAATTGTTTTGGGAGATTTATTGAACAGGTCACTGAGGCACAACAATACAGTACAGGGGAAACATAACCCGTGTGTACATGTAGTAAATGACATCGGTAAGCGAATGAGTTGGGAAATACCACCGTTTCAATGGTACTCCAGTTATATCAGACGTATAGTAACGGCATTGGGAGCACATGGCAAAGAAGACAAAGCGGACGGGCACTGCTCTGTGTTTCGGAATATGTTTCTGGGTTGATGTGCATCATGCCTGTGCTCAAGGGTTTCCGAAACCTTCCCGGAACATGCATCACTCAACCTGTCCTGTGAATGAGTGAGTGAGTGAGTGATCGAGTGAGTGAGTGAGTGAGGAGTGAGTGGAGTGAGTGAGTGAGTGAGGAGTGAGTGAGTGAGTGAGTGAGGAGTGAGTGAGTGAGTGCAAGCCGCTTTTAGCAAGAATGTTCACCAGAAATGGGCTTCACACATTGTATTCATGTGGGGAATCCAACCCGGATCTTCGGCGTGACGAGTGAACGCTACTAACTACTAGGCTACCCCGAACGCCCTGTACAACCCCAATATGGTTGTCTTGATTTTACATATTGGAGTTGTACACGCCCTCTGTTCTCCTTCCGTGATATAACAAGACACTGCCCAAAGCGGCATTAAGCACTTCTCACTCCCTTCGATGGAAGGCACGACTGGCAAATATATCAATGTATGCACAGAATAATGTATTGTCGTCTTTGCCTTGGGCCTTCAAATCACCTGCCTGAAAGCATTGATTTCATTGTCTGACATGATTATTACCTGTTTACCTACATGGAACAATCAAACATAGAAATGTCGTAGTTAAGGTGAGCGAGTGCGTGAGTTGGTTTGACACTGCTTTGAACAGTGAATTTCTGTGTCTCAATCGACACGGCTAAAGTGGACCCGTATAGAACCGTGGTTTCTCGGGTTCTCTAGCACTGTGTAGGTTGACGTCATGGTCCTTAGCTATGTCCATTGCTTTTTACTTACGGTTTGGGGGTTTTTTTTCGTTGTTGTTAAACGCCGCATTCAGTAACGTTCCTGCTGTATTCGAGTCCGTACCAGACAATCCAGTGATCAACGGCATGAGTAATTGGGAATCGATGACATGAGTCAACCAAGTCAGCGAGTCTGACCACCCGACTACGGGTTGTGTTAGCCGCCTCTTACGAGAGCATGGGTTGCTGAAGATTAATTCTGATCCGGATCTCCACGGGTTATTTACAGTGTCACCATGTTTGCTTAGACTA